GCAGGTGACCTGAGAGTAGACCTTTAGCAAGCTTGTTCAATTGTTATGCAATAAAGCAAGATAGGATAATGATAAGTTAGCATATTGTATGCATAACTTCCGAGTACCGGTGTTGAAGAAATGATGGTGGCTAAGAGCACTGAATAACAAATAATAAAGCGCAAACAAGAAAACCAACGTACTTTAGGCCGTTGATTCAAATTTGAATCACGAGAAATTGCTACCTAAATTAAGTCAAATTCTCCAAATCTTTAAGACGACTACGGCGACGACTTGAACTCGCTTTCCGTAGAATTCACGTACTTGCGCTAAAGGAAAAAAGCATTGGAATGGCCACTTAGGGCTGCTATGAGACTTTGTTCCAGGAGATGGATCAGATTGCAAACTTTCATTAAACCCCCAAAAAATCAGAAAAAATAGTAGCCCATCATTCACATGAAATTAGCCTTTTGAGAGGAAGGAACAGTTGTGGTATTACTTCACATAGACACAAAATGAACAATCACCTTGAAGTTATTTGAGTGCAATTTGAAACCCATTGGTAGGAACGAAATTTAGGGGTGACGAGTGAAGTAAGAACTCCTCTGTTAAGAAAGACTGGCTCACTGAATAAGCGAATGCGACAAAGAAGGACAATGCTGAGGTGGAAGGTAATTAAAATGGAAGAATTTGTTGACTGCAGTAAGTCAACACAAGAGCTAAGTTGGAACTAAAATATTAACCAAGTGTATGGATATAAAGGTAATAACGACCTAGGACGAAGTTTAATTAAAAAAAAGACATTTTTAAACTTTCTGCAAACATTTAAGAGAATAAGGCGACCGAAATTAACACCTTCATGAAATTGAGCGTAGAAAGTACATAATGCCTGAAATCACCTATTTCAGGTCAAATTTGAGTCAATTTGTGCGTGCTTTAAAATGCTGTATCTTGTGGAGGTCAAAGAATTTAGGTTAAGCAACGATATGCTAATTGCGTTAATTAGCGAAGGAGGTCACGAGTGCAAATACCCCTCGACCAATCAATGACCAATAGTAATTACAGTGTCATTGTTGCCGAACAGTATTTGCTGATCACGCTCTGTGTGACAGCAGCCTCATACCGGGCGTAAACACAACCCAAATAGACGAATTCCAGGTCATACGCCTTTTTTTCTTCTTCAAAACGACGAGACAGAGTAGGTAATTCCACGAGGGATTCCTACTAGAAGAACTTGTCATAGAGAATAGTGAGGATAAGCCAATGCTACAATCTCACTGCTACACACAACTACCCTTTAGTGCTGCTAATCAAATGTTTATTCCATGCCACCGTAAACAGACATAATTTTTTTTACCAGGATTCGCATTCTGGTTAAATACGATTTATTAAGACCTGAAGTCTGGGGCAATTATTGAATCCTCGAGGAAGGCTGACAAACGAAGTTGAATTGGTAGTGGATGCAATTTTACACTAGAATACCTTAAAAATCAAGCTTGGCAGATTAGAAATAAAAGGAGAACACTAGCAGACCATTGAAGACCCATTTCAAATCTTGCTTTGAATCCACCCCCCCTCCCCCCAATTCGCAATCATTCTCCTCTATTGTACACTACCGCAACCAACTCTTGTTAAAAGTACAAATAATTGCAAAGCATTTGATTGCAAGGACTTAAATATCGAGTTTTAGGTGGCAACTAGAATTTATGTTTTTGAACGAAAAGTGGATGAAAAAACACGCCATTTTATGGAGTCCATAACGATTATGCAGTGTTAACGACAAGAATCTTCGACAAGACTTAAATGACTTAAGTGAAATCTCCCTCTTTATTTCCCTCCATAAACTGGCAGTCGACTTCTGACTTCAAACTACCATGGACTCGACTGTGTGTCATTTTCGATCACTTTCACGGCACTCACCTTATCTTTCACTCTACCATTGTGTCTGTCTCTTTTACATCAGCTAATCACTCTTCTGTTCCGCCTCTCCGCTTGTGACTTTGATGTTCCTCATCTCTACCAAGCCCGAAGTCAACCAAAGGACTATGATAACTATCATTAAAGCCTGCCATTTGATATAAATTAATATTTTGACAAAGGAGGAATAAAATCTTAGAATTGGCATTAAAGCGTTCCAGCTGCACTGGATCTTAACTCAAAACATTTCAGTCGCATAGAAAAAAAAATAATAAAATGACTCCGATGAAATCTGTGAATCGTAAATGCTCGCGGAATGGGTGAACGATATCTGAAATAACTATGCAAGCTCCAAATCCGCGAAAAATTCGATAAGACATGGAAACAACACAACCGAACAGAATATGGTCGGAATTCACAGCAGACATGTTTACTTTTGTCCACCAGGCCAATTTGACACAAATTTTGAATAAATTAAGGATTTATAATGACAATAGATTGAGAATCTGCTGTGATCGTGCATCTTTCATTCAACTTAAACGCTTCAGTCAAAGGGAACTGCAGATTAGTGTTCATTAGCAAACTGCGCTGAATAAGTTTGAGCAGATGTTTGGTGACAGAAGCCTTAACTCGTAGTACATGTAACCGAGCTAGTGATTTATTATTGCCTAAAAGAATAACCGCTCAAATTGAGAGGTGAATTAAACTAATGCCAAATTTTCCTCATCTACAACAGCATTGAAGCTGCATGGTTAAAACGAGTGATTCAGGAATGATGCTGTAAACAAGACTTTAAATGTTAAAATGCAAACATATGCTTTAGTCGCCTAGTGAAAAAGACCATTATGCAAAAAATAAAGACCAGTGTTACTGTTTATGAAGGTCATGATAGATAAACACAAAAAGCAGAATTTTGGTGAGCCTGATAAGTAGTGTCATAAGGACTACTTCGAACATTTCAAGTCACTGATAAGGCCAATTAAAAATATCACAAATGTTAATCAAGCGTAATGATTTGAAGGAACAAAAAGAACATGTTAAAAAGAGGAAGTATGTATTTCAAAGTTTAATATCAAGCGGCTAAGTGGAGTACTGGTAATAAGAAGAAATGTGATCGAACAAGGAAAGGTAAAAATTTTAAAGTTAAATTTAAGGTATTAATCAGTCTGAGAAATTTGCATAAATAATTAAGACAAAAAGCATAAGGCATCAAGGAATCGAACTCACCTAAATCCAATAGCCTTTCTGCCTTAAAATCTTGATCGACGTTGATCAATTTCCGAAAAAGTTCGCTTGAGTAAACAAACATTGATCCACGATTAAGAAGCCTGAAAACAATAAAAACAAATAAATTAGTTCAAATAATAGCGGAAAATTCAATAGATTACAAACAATTACCCGTTGCACGAAGTAGCAGTCATAAACCATGTTAAAATCGATCGAGATATAGAGTGATAAAGCTGAGTGAAAAGCCAATCGGATTTATCAAAGCAGGTTTGAAGAAATCCCGTTGTTTCTTCGTCCTGATGGGCCTGGACAAACAGACTCAAAGTACGATTTGAGAGAAGATTTGGTCGAATATCATACCACTAAAATAATAGTTTTTGCATAAAATTATACTACGAATTCGTGGTTTGAATTTCTATGTTCTTCAGTATGCTCATGTTTATCGTACAGCATTCGGACAACTGGACTATGCAATTTTATTGCCATACCGATAATAAAAGCCTATAAAAATGTCAATTAAAAAATTTCCCACTGTAACAATGAAGAAAATGATATAGGAGAGATTCTTCTTATTCGAGGCTCTTGCAGTGTACATAAAAGTTAAATATGAAGAGTTCAAAAGTAATGCATGATTGAGGTCGTTTGCATTTTGAGCATTTGATCAAATAGTGATTTCGATAGAAATAAAATAAACGAAACATGTATAATTTCACAAAATTCGACTTTCATCATTCACCTGATTTTATATATTTGATAAAGAACTGCATTCTTAATATTAGATAATTTTTTAATGTTGATATAGAAATCTTTTGACTGTTTCTACATAACATATTACTGATCTACGACAAGCTTTACTCAATCACTGCTGTTTAACTGCTTCGGTAATAGTAAATTTCATTTTTTATCTATTAATAGCAGATTTTTAGTTTTAAACTTTATTTCACGTGCATATATTTTGCTTTTGAGAGATAGCTTATCTATTATGCAGACAGTGAGATTTTGGATCTGCTTCACATTATTAGTAATATTGTTATGAATCACTAGAATTGAGACGCTATAATAAAAAATACATAAATCTAGCACATTCCTGTTTTTACCGGCAGATTAGCATTTTTAAGCGATTAAATCTTTTAAGTGCTTCGACAAAGTTGTGGATGAATAAAATATCAAAAGAAGTCGTTGATATTTTTTACCCGAATCCGAGGGAGACAATTTAAGGACAAAGCTACATTTAAATATAAAATGAAAGCAAACTGTATATTTCATGACTTACTTACTTTCGTTAAAATTAGATCGTTCGAAAAACCGAGAACTGATGCACTTTTTTAAGATTTTTGACAAACGAATTACTTAACGCCAAATGATGTACTTGTTTGCATAATATCGAAACAGTTCGCCGGGAATAGCACTGAATCTTTGGGAAATTTGCGCAAAAATGATTATCGATGTTTCCGAAACGGTAACAAAATGCTAAGACTGTACCTTTAAAATAATATTATTTCGGGTGTTCGAAGTCTGGGCTTTATTAATTTGTAAAATTTTGAGGAAAAATTTGAAACGATAAATAAAATATCGAAGTATTCTGGAAACAGATAGTTAAGCTCAATAATATGTAAGCAGCAAATGATTAAAAATAGCTTATAATTAATTAAACTCATTTAATATATGCCAAATAAAATAGTGAAATTGTACTTTATTTTCGTTCAAAATGTTTTAGGTTTTATTTTGTTCGTTCATTTCATTGCTATGGCAACGCCAACTGACCTCAAGAATGCGCTTTACAATATTTTGGCACAAAATGGTGCTTTATCTAGAATCGAGGCACACGCTCAATCTGAAATATTTTCTGCATTAGATATCGAGTCACACGAGGCTGATGCTGATCGCTATTTCAAAGTCGGCGAAACTAGTTTTATTATTAACGAACTAATTCTGGAATATTTAAAATTTAATGGGTATATTTCTCCCTAACAATCCCTCACTAATAGCATTTGGTTTTGAATTTTTATAGCAGTTTTTTTATTTTAGATTGCAGTTTAGCGAATCCGTTTTTCGTAATGAAATGGGGCACAAGCACGCGCCTTTGTCGAGGTTTTTGCTTTGCCAATCACTCAAAGTCAAACCAACAGTTTCAGCAAAGGCATCAGCAACTGAGTCTTCATCTTCTTCCAGAGCTCTTCAGTTAACAAATAAACCGGTTCCCTTGTTATATTATTTTGTTGAATACTTTAAATCCCATAACTCACTTGATATATGATCTGTCCATCATTCGTTTTGGAAATTTATATGGCTATATTTTATTCCACAATATATTGCATTAAAATATTTATTAGTACACTCTATTCAATAGTACAATTAATTTCTTTAAAAACTCTCTATAAACTTTGACTTTGGTCCAATTTCTTTTCGATAGGATATTTATCCTATAGATTATTTTTGACTGTGTCTTTTAATAACGTCCTTTTGCTCGTTTGCATGAACTTACCAAAATTCCTCTAGCAGGCTAAGTTTCATAAATGAAGTGCAAAAATAATTTTTAGTTGCTCATTTTCAATAACGCACCAATTGTTTGTTGTTCTGACCCGTTACCACTTGCATAGTCAATTCTATGAATTGCAAGTAGGTTATCCAATCCCTCGAATAGTCCATTAAATTTGCATTATTGTATCCTCAGCTTTCTCTAAACTAGTACCAGGACATTTATCAGTTCTAATATAAATCCCCGTTGATCCACTATGTACATCTTTCATAACTTTCTGAACTATTCATTGAATGGATGATTGAGGTTTTGTTCCGCCCTCAGGCTTTTAATATATTAACTCAACTAATAGCTCTATTGGCCGTCTTCTTGAAGGCTTTCATTGGCGAGTTCGTTGACTTTAATTTCACTATTGAAACTCTGCTTACGACTGGAAGAACTCAAGGTCATAAGGCGATAGATAACTCAAAACTCCGATGTTTAGTTGTGGCTATTAGAATCTTTATTATTTTTGGTAGCTTATCAATTACCGATTCAGATATTTCAACTGTCAGAAGTATTATTATTACTATAATTTCAAATGGCAGGCGTTTCGAATGTTTATCATTAGCCATTTAGCTGACTTGGGGCTTCGAAGAGGGAGGAAAATCAAAGTGAGAAAAATTTGAGAGGGGGAACGGAGAGTGATTCACAAATATAGAGGAGACAGACGGACACAAAGGTAGAGAAAAGGTGAGGTGAGTACTGTGAAGTTGTGGAATATGACATAGAGTGAGGTTATGGTAGTTTGAAGTCAGAAGTATAAATTTATCCATCAAAACACCGTCTTTTACATTTGGGCTTGATAGAGTCGTTATAAGTTTTCTTTTTATTCACTTAAATAAAAATCCACATAAGGTGTAAATAATTATTCAAACAATCATCATTTGATTACCATCTTACGAAGGTTGTTGAAGGATTTTTGGTTCATCCGCTTTATCATATGGGAAGAGATCTTGATAACATGATTTCAAGTGCATGTGATCTGAGTTGCCAACACAATTACTCTCTATCAAAAGCCAACTTAGGTAAAACTTTAGAGTCTTTAGATCATATTCCCAAATACGTTTTTTACTTGATATCGTAATGAAACGAATACCTTCATTATTACAATTATAGGAGACTGTATATACTGAACCTTATCATTTTGCATTGATTGGTGAAGCAAATCATTGCTTTAACCATATCTGCATTGTAATTTATCGAAATTTCATAAATATTAACTTAAACGAGGCTAAAAACAGTTAGAATTGGTCAGACATGTGAATTCAATTTGTTAGGAAAATTTGTGCTTCAAAAGAGTGAAACTGCATATATAATGGAGTCACAAGGTAAAAAATTTCATAAAATCTACGTTTGTTTACCCGAAATTTAACAATTCGCTCAATCATAAACGCAAATAAATTTAAATTAATATGTGAAGTTCAATCAGAGGGCGCCTTTCAGTCTTTCATCGGGTCTTCACTAAGGGGCAATTAATTGAGAATAGCCAAGTTTCGAAAGCGTCAAATCCTCTTTCGTTGTCTCTGATGACATTTCTGATTTTCGCAACTGGAAGTTTTGTGCTGGCCGTGGACCAAGTTCTTCCTGCACTCGACCAATGCGGGTGTTGCAACTTTTGTGTAATCCGCTGA